GCTTATAGTATCGCAATTTATCGCGATATATCGTATCGTGACCCCTCTGTCATGATATGTATCGTATCGCCAAATTCTTGCCAATACACAGCTCTAGTGGTGACAATACTGAATTTTTGATTAGCATAATTTGCTAAGGTTTATTTTCAGCTACTTCTACACTAACCGTCAGCTTTATGTGTCTAAAAATGGCTGAATAATAAGTTGAGACAAGCATTCAGCTTGTTTGGATCATTATTTACAAAATTTCAGCTCAACATTTCTTCAGTATCTTAAAACAGATGACTAGAAGCTGTTTGGAATTAGATATTGGCTAGTGGCCATCATGCATTTTCAAATCCAGAATACTTTATATATGCAACCCCCCATAAAAACACCATGGCAAAAACACCTAACTCCACTCCTGCTCAAAATCTACAGAAATCCAACCAACTTTTTAAAAATGACCAATGACAATTTCAATTTTGAACAGTTGTAAAACCACTACTCAAAGATTTTTTAAAAAACCCTCGGTGTAACCAGCAATAATCATGGGTCAAGCTGAAATGTTTGAAACAGCATTGGGAAACTTTAGTCCTCATCAGAAAAATTAAAAGGAAATTTGGAGCCTTTATTAGCTATGTTTTAACCATTAAAAAAGTAGGTTACATCAAATATAGGCCCAAAAAWTATAGGTCAAAAACCAATTAAAGAMTTTTGTTGGACTTATGGTAGCAAAGTAGCCTTGGCCTATAGGCTCTAGAACAAAACTGCGTTGACAAAGTCAGCTAATATACATGAGGCTATTTTATAAATGTTTTTTTTTATAGTCCAAAAACAAGTTTCCACTCGAAATTTATGTTGTAACAAGTTTAAAATAATTAGGTAAACTGGGTCTGTCACCTGCAGAAGTGGGCAGATAATGCACAGAAGACGCCACGGGTCTCAGCAGGCGCACCGTGTTGGAACCGAACTTCCGGTGCTGTTTGGGTCTGCCGTCCGGCTCCGCCGCGCTTTTGTACAAACTGAGCATGAACTGCAGGTTCTGGTCCGCTTTCTGCTCGTCGCTGAGCGGCCGGTGGTGCGCGCCTCCTCGGTGCTTGGCGCTCTGGTGGCTCCGCCGGCTGCGCCTCGGCTGGTGGGAGGCCGTTTCCCGCCCTGCCGACGCTCCGGTGCACGTGCAACACAACAGGTAGATGAAACAGGTGAGGACGCTGACACGCAGTAGGGCCTGCTTGGCGCGGGTCACCCTCATGTTGGTTTTATACAACCTCTGGTGCTAGCGAGCTCCACCAACGAGGCTATAGTTTAGCAACCATCCATGTCCGCGTGTCCCGAGGGCGTGACTTACAGGCGCACCTGACGGCTGGCCGCCATGTTGGGAGTTACGCTGCTCTTCCTGCTCAAATTAACCGCTGGCCCAATTAACCTTTCGGGTTTGTGGGAGGAGCCAAAAGACGCCCAGGATGCGCGCGCACCCCATTTATAACAGATTTTAATGAAACTTCCACAAAATAGCTTTTATCACTGTGTTGACATATACAATTGATTGGGCTCAGMCRCTTTAGAAACACAAAAWTAACYATTRATTAGTCAATTTTGAGCTCAAATATGGGGTGGTATTAGGTGAGACTTATTCATAATACAAAGAGCCTTTATTGGGAAATTCAGGACATACTCTTAGTACTAAAAGATCAAAGTGTTGCAATACTGCAGGAAATTGTACATAATGTTATTTTCAAGGTTTGACCAAAATGGCTAAAACTCTAGCAGGGAAAGGTGGTGGATATGCATTCCTTTAAAAATATTATTTTTTTAAATTTCCGTATAAATTTTCAATAACATTGTGATCCACAAGGTGTCACCACAACACACCAAGAACCAATGAATGTGTGTTTGAGAGGKGGTGGGCATTCTACAAGATCAAAACTACACATTGTATGTACTATTTTGTATTTTCTATATAGCTTTTTTTTTTTACATCAAACACATTTTTCCTCATTTTCACAATATTTTAAGATCAATAATTTACATATAGGCATCTTTACATGTTTTACTTCAAATCTCTTCATGGCAMTAATATATTGCAGGCCTTGGGATTGCAGATTCAACATTTTTTCCTCATTTTGTTTTTTTAAGATTCCATAAAAAAGTTTGTTTCCTCCAATTTAATAACATTTAAGGCAGTGGTTCTTCCAAGCTGTTCACACACAAAATAATAGCAGCAGAGCCTTGACTCTAGATGATTAAACCGTAGCATAAAAATACTGCAATGAAAAAAGACATCGCTAAATGACTCCTTACAATGAACCGCGTTGCAAACAATAAAGAGCAGTTTGTAGTTTTTTTTCCATTCCTCATAGTATATTTAGTTTTTCCTCCTTAATCACAGAGACAATCAATCCTGCTTTGTTTTTTTCTTGAAAACAGGCAGAGTGGTGGAGTACAGCAGCTCAGAGGGAAAGGGGGWGGGGCTTGACATCCACCGATGTGACTTGATGACGTAACTCGTTGGATCCCTTCAAAGAGCCACTTATCCCATCTCTACAACAAACCCTTATGGTCTGGATGAAAAGTTACGTGTCTGGACTTGTCCGCCTCCTTTTCACGTTGATTCGCCATCTGCTCTGCTTTACTTGTCCATTTTCTTGAGACAGACACTGAAGAAAATTTCAGTGGGTCCTGGCGGAAGTCATTCGCCCAGACCCACCCAGTCATTTAGAGGTTTTCCAGACATTTCCGACAGGGAAGAGACCCCAAGATAAAACCAGAACTTTCTATAYGGATATCCTCTCTGACCTGGGAACAACGTGGGATCCTTCAGGAATAACTGTGAAAGTGTGGCTGGGGAGGGTGATGTCTGGGTTTTTCCTCCTGGACCTGTGTCTTCTGGGACTCAACCACAAATGATCAGTAGAAGACGTAATTGAGTTTGTAAAAAAATTTTGGTTTATACCAGATAACCCAGTGAATTGACTTCATATCAACAATGAGATAAGATAAACTTTTATTGTCATTGTACAAAGCACAATGAAATTATAGTTCGACACCCATTCACAAGAAGACAGAACACAACCAAACATAGTTAGGTTGGAAACTGGCATATATCGTAAGCCCACCCACATAGACCAATATTTGCGTTTTGACTCCCACCACCCACTGGAACACAAGTTAGGAGTGATCAGGACTCTGTACCACAGAGCAGACAGTGTCCCTACAAACCCAGGAGCCAGGCAGAAAGAGAAATCACACACACGACAGGCCCTGGAGCAGTGTGGTTATCCTGACTGGGCTTTCCTGAAAGCAGACAGGAAACACAGACAGGATTCCATGCAACCTWCAGGTGAAAATGAAGACCCCAAACCCAGACCCAAACCAGTGGTTATTCCGTATGTTGCGGGTGTTTCGGAGAAACTGAGATGTTTATTTTCTAAACATGATGTCCCAGTRGCTTTCAAACCCCAAAACACATTACGGCAAAGGCTGGTTCACCCCAAAGATCCGGTGCCCCGGCACAAACAGAGCAATGTTGTATATGCTGTTAAGTGCCAGGAGGACTGCGACCAGTTATACATCGGGGAAACAAAGCAACCACTGTTCAAAAGAATGTCCCAACACAGACGAGCTACATCTAATGGCCAGAACTCTGCAGTTTTCACTCATTTACAGGCCAGCGGTCACTCTTTCAGASATGAGGATGTTCTCATTCTTGATAGAGAGGAACGTTGGTTTGAGAGAGGAGTAAAAGAAGCCATTTTTGTGAAGAAAGACCGTCCATCATTAAACAGAGGTGGAGGTCTCCGTTTTCAGTTGTCCCCCTCCTACAGTGCTGCTATTGCCAGTATCACTCCCCCTGTTAACAATAAGTGTTAATTAGGTGTCAACGATAGCCATGTGATGTGAGTATCAGTCACCTGGAGGCAGGGCTTAAAAGCCTGAATTTTGCCTGAAACTCTCAGACTGAAGAAGTCTCTTGGAGGAGAGACGAAACGTTTCATTAGAGAAGAACCCGTCCAGAGGACCTACACAATTTTTTTCTTTTTGATAGAGAGCTATGTTAGGTTATGAAAGTCTACTATTGCGATGACCTGTAATATTACCGTGCTTGGGCAAAAGAATATTACAGAAATGAAGCAGTTTTGTGACAACAACAAAGTTGATCTGAGGTTGACCATTCGATTGGCGAATGCTGTCTGTTCTCTAGAACAGGTCAAGCTGAAGATAAGAAATSGACTCAWGGTAAAGCAGTCTGTTTTTAACCAGATAATCAGAGGATACCCAGAATAAGTAGAACCTGCTTCACAATGCGGAACCCTGTACATATGATATTTCAGATAATAGTTCCACAAACCCAAAAACTACACCACTAGGAAGTAGAAAACGTATATTTTACAATGAGAGATTGTTTTGTCTTGTTTTAACGTGTCCTTGAAACCATTGCGCTTTGTGCAGTTATTTTGTCTTTTTCTTTTGTSTGTTTTCATCTTTAATGTGGTTGTTTGAATGTTAAGTTTTGCACCACTATAGAAATAAACTCCCATTGTGTTACTGTAGCTGATCATCACAGCAACAGGGCTGGCATGGATGTATTGTGTCTGGCTCGTGTAACACACTGACTGTGTATATTTGTGGTTCCCATGTGTCCTAATGTGGCAATTACAACAGCAGACTGTCAAATGTTTTGAAATGTGTGGTATGTGTTTGTAAATGTTGTTGGCTTTAAAAAAAAAACCGCAAGATGTGTGTGTCAGACTGCAGAACAGAATAAGGTAGGGTATTTTGGCCATTTTGAAGTGGTATTCTGTGTAAAAGCGTAGAAAAAATGAATTAAAAATGAAAAGTGTTTAAAAGGGTTTTTAAGCAGCTCAAACAAAAGTGACATTTTTTTTTACTCTCAGGCGAGGACAGTCAAAAAGCCCACTCTCTTTTGAAATGTTAATTTGGCTGTACCGCCTGATGCAGAAATGTTTTTTTGTGGCTAATTTGATTGGTTGTCGCCTTTAAATAGAACGCGACTATTGGTCAGTAGTTCTGTCAATCAGAACATGCTGTTGGAAGAGTGGGCGGAGCCGGTGGCCTGGCTTGGGAAAAGTTCCCCTGAAGTTTTTTTATTTTCTGCTACGTCAAGTTTGTAAAGATAACAGCRGAAACAGCTTGTCGTTACCAAAATAAAAGTACTTTATTGTTTTTATTTAGGCTATAAAGAACTACTTCGACAAAAGTAGTCGAAGCTAAACAGTTGCGGGTGTAATTTCGAGCGCAAATATGGCTAAACATAGCGTTTTGTGTACTTTTGCCAAACGTTTTACCGGAAGTAACAAGCGTAGCTTCATCTAACTTTACCAAAGCTAAAAGTTTTTTGCCCTCCTCTTTTTCCCCTGCGTTCGCTCCGTCCTGCCACCACCATCCATCCATTCGCTACTGATGCTACGATGGTGATGGAGAGGCCCAGCAGGKTCCGGTACCGGCGCCGCTGAGCTCGAAACGACCCGGCCTGGCTTGCGAACCGACAGAGAGGGAAGAAAACGAATAAAAGAGCGGCGGGGACAAAAGCATGGAAACCGTGGAGCAGCTCGTCTCCTTCCACCACATTCAGGTCCAGCTGAGCGGGGGCGCGCCTTGGGGGTTCACGCTGAAAGGAGGGCTTGAGCACGGAGAGCCGCTCATCATCACCAAAGTGAGTTAGAMCACATTTCCACTTATTTATTAAGGATAAACTCATTTCTGTGGGCCMAAACTGTAAAAAACGGCACGTGCAAACTTATTCTAATAGGCTCGCAATGCAATGGTTGAATGCGTGTACAGATATTTGCACGAATGTTGCACATCTGTCCATTTTCATTCATCCAAAGTTAACTGCTGGTTCTTTTTGTTGCTGCAAAGGTAGAAAAATACAGCACTGATCAGTACCTTGCAGAACAACATTCAAGGATCCCCCCCTCATCTTTTTCTCTGCAGAGAAAATTAAAAGTGTCTAAAAAGCAATTAAACTTAAAGGCTGAGCATTCCTTGAATAAATGCATATCTTCTGCTACATTTTACRCCAAAGTTCAACTGAAATCATCTTGTTGATAAATGATGGAGTTGCAGCCAATTTACTGGAACTTTAAAAATGATATTATTTGCAATTACATGAAAACGTTTGTTGTGGATTGCTCTCAGTTACTACTGGGGTTGTAAGTACATCGATCCACATTGATATATTGATTAAAAGGTTACTGATTCAGTTACATCAAGGCAAAAACACTGATCCATATCGTCATCATATGTCAATCGAACACAATAATTTAATGTCCTGATGCATCTCAGTTCTCATTCTTGATAGAGAGGAACGTTGGTTTGAGAGAGGAGTAAAAGAAGCCATTTTTGTGAAGAAATCGGTGTTAATTAGGTGTCAACGATAGCCATGTGATGTGAGTATCAGTCACCTGGAGGCTAGGGCTGTGTATTGGCAAGAATTTGGCGATACGATACATATCATAACAGAGGGGTCACGATACGATATATCCCGATATATTGCGATACTGTAAGCAAGGCGATATATTGCGATTTTTTTTGTCCAAAAATTCTATTAAATAAAAACCTCTTACAAGGGAAAAAAATGAAAAATCAAAATTCGTTGTCTCAGAAAATTCTAACATTACATAGACA